TTCAAGAAAATGCCGCCACCGCCGCTCGCTCCCGAGGACGTAGGAAATTCTTTGCTAAACCTCGTTAAATCTTTGTGTTCTTCTAGTTTGTGTCGATTCCTGTTTTATTCCGCGTTAAATTTCACAACATTTTAATTAAGCTATTCAAATATCTAACGAAAATGTCTTGATCGCAAATGGCTTTGTGCCTACGAGATCTTACAAAGCCATTTGCGTCCACATTAGTCGTTCCCATCCATTTACAGTACTCTCATAGACTCTCACACCATAATTGTATGGTGGAGAAGGAAGTTAGAATACAACTAGGAAACATCTAGCAATGAAATGTCACTTTTTGGCTGCTTTAGGAAAGCTATTCAAATATCTAACGATTCATGAAACTGCCTCAAAAACAATGTGGATAATTAGATCCCATAACTGCTCAGATGTGACTCGGTTGGCCACCCAATCTTCATGAAGAACAATTTTATCAAAAGTGCAAATCTCAGTAGTATTTTATTTTGTTCATATTAATTGGTTATACATGGGTAGTCCTTAATTGCTGAAGCAAACACAAACAACATGACATTCTTAATCCAACATCAGCGTTTCATAATGTCAAGGTAGAACTGTTATAATCTTCCCTGGTATCAAATTAAATTAAATTTTGATTTTAGACAAGTTTGGTAAACTGCAAAATTGATTGTAGAGTAAAATGGAAGAAATTTACATATCAACAAATAAAAATGTATCCCTAAAATTTGACTTCAAGTATTGAGAATTACGTGGTTATGTCTATGCAGACTGATTCTTGGAGGTGATTATCTATTCTGATTTTTTCTTTGCTAGTAACTATAATAATTCTAGACAATCAACTTCTAGGTATATCCTTAGATTTGTTGGAGTGTTAAGCAGGGAAAATTAGTACGTGCGTCTGGCCGCACACTCGGATGAAGGTCCGTATTAGGCCACACCGTCGTATATTGCACGGCGGCCCATCTAGACGGCTGTCCTGATATATGGTTGCCGCGTGTAATAATTTTTGTTCTCTATTCTTGTGGTTTGGCTCAACGGTTTTACAAAGAAGCAGTTACAATCAAAGCGCTCTATCATTATTTTGAAAAAAAGATTAGCTATGAAAATACAATTAGATGTGACAAACAAAATGTTCTCGGTCCAAATAAGATCAAATGTATCACTCAAAAATATAGCGTGTAACTTTTTTATGGCATTTGTTAGAGAAAATATCTTCTAAATTTTTATTATTATCGAAACGAGACATGCACATGTTCAATAAATATTTTTAAATATTGAATTTTTGAAAGATTGAGTGTCCAAAAAAATAAAATAGAGGAATATAAATTGCTTAGATAATCTGAATAAGCATCCAAAATTTTGTTAGACATCAACCAAATATAGTCTCAGAAAATTTAGAAAGATTATATTCCTACAATTTTTAAGGAGCATTTGTAGTAAAGAGAAATACTAAATTTGCGAAGCTTAATTTCCAATGCCATGCTTGCATGTTGCATGAAATGATTTTGTTAAATGAAATTTAAAATGATAATCAAAGCACAATATTTATTTATTTTTCAATTTACCAAATTCAAATACAATAATGAAAAGCCTTATATATTAGAATGATTGAGAGAGAGAGAGAGAGAGAGAGAGAGAGAGAGAGAGAGAGAGAGAGAGAGAGAGAGAGAGAGAGAGAGAGAGAGAGAGAGAGAGAGAGAGAGAGAGAGAGAGAGAGAGAGAGAGAGAGAGAGAGAGAGAGATAATAGTAATATGCACAAACACAAAAAGTGCATTGCGAGCAGGCACATTTGTCCCATGATTTTCTCCTCCAAAATATGCTTTCATAGCTCATGAATTTAAATCATACATTTGTAGTTGGTAGAATTACATGTGATGAAAGAACATGCAAGAGATTGCGTATGAAACATTTTATATTTTTGTTGATTCAGCCATTTGTTTGAATCAAATGACAATAGTCTACTTTTGACTATAGCTCCTCCAATCTTTAATGTTATATTTGGAGCTTCGATTTTTGTTGTTTTTAATTCCTTAGGAATAAAATATACAGGTTCACTAGTTGTTTTGCACTTTAATGGTTCATATATTGCCTTGTCAATGCTTTTAAGTAGCATAGTTGGGGAGTCGAATACATTTGTGGAGTCATAGAACATTTGAAAAAGTTTCAAGAAAGCTAGATGCACGTCCTTCCACTCCCTTGGCATTTGAGAACTTGTAGAGTCACTTGACATCACTAGTTGAAGAAGTTCTTTTTTCTTTTTTTCCCAAATATTCCTCACAAAAGTGATGGCTTCATCAATTGGAGCATTTGGATTCTCCTTTTGATATAACAAAACTATATTTGGTTTTCCATCCCTAGCTTCTCTCTGCAAAATAAATTATATTTTTTGTAACATTGATGTTATTTGATTGTAAAAAGAATAATCACTATATTTTAACCAATTGTAGTTTTATACTTAAAAAAGTATTTGGAAAAACTTAGCAGTAAATAATACAGTTTTATTGACAAACCTCATAGCTCTCCAAGTCATTCAACAACCGACATGACAACATAACAGATTGAGTAATCATAGAATTGCTTATGTCCCAACGGCTCTCTTCAACAATTCTGTTTGAGTTTGTCAAATAACATGATGCAAAAATCATCATTTGAACTGCAACTGATGTCTTGCCAATTTCAATATATTGATCAATTGAAGGATGATGAGTGCTTCTAGCCCATTCTGCTTCCTTTAGCCATGAATTGAATATTGCTTTCCACTAATTAAGATACAAATTAATGCAGACTCATTGATATTGATCAGCTTATTAAAATATATATAATGGTAGAATACAAGTCATGAATAACTCACATTATCTTGAAGAATTTTCTTCACATCATAGCCATATCGCTGGAAAGATTTTCGAGAAATATCATGAACTAAGTTGTCGAGGGCGATAAAAATAACTTTGCTATGGCCTGTTAGAAATTCTCCATCCCATCTATGTTTGAAGTCGATAAAGAGAATCAAAATTTTATTAATACATAATACCGAAAAGAATGAATACACATCAAAAATATAATGAGCTCAGAATTTCAACATACTTTCTGAAATGTACATTTAGTTCAAAAGAAATAATCAATGCACTTTTTGTAATAATAACTAATTATAGCTAACATGGATAAATACAATAATTTGACTGAAAAGTAAAGACAGAAAGAAAGAATAATGATTAATTATTCGTTAAATAACAGAAAAATTATTAAAATAAGCTAACAAGGCAATGATTAATTCATAAAAGGGGTGGAATATTTTCCTACCTTTGTAATGCATCTGTTAGAATGAATAGTTCATCAAGTGAGGCTTTCTCATCAAAAAAATCATCTGCAATTGTAAACAAGATTGCACATTTTGCTGCTTCCTTCCTTGAATCTATGTTAATGGGGAAGCAAATTGAAGAAGCCACGGCAAAATAGCAGTATGATGTCTTCTCTCTACCAAATCCCATAGCGGAGAGGCCAGTGCTCTTAGACCACCTTTTTGCACAAATTAAATGAAAATTTAAGGGAAACTTTAGAAAGAAATTTATTGAAGAAGCAAATGTAAGAGAGAAAATTATAATGTTGTTTTTTATACATTAACGATAAATTACCTTTGCAATTCGTGAAGCTCTTTCTTGTATACTATTTGTCTAGTCGTGAAATTATCAATGGCAAGTTGGAGTAAGTCATCATTTTGTAAGATCCTGCATTTTATTTTAATCGTCAAATAATGACATTGCATTTATCCCATCATCTATCTTTAGTTTCCATATATAACATTTACTTGCAATAAGGAGAATTATTTCCAATCCAAAAGAGATATATCCCTCCTCTTTCAATGTAGAACCTATGCTCCAAATGATCCATTCGAGCTAGCCATTTAAGCCCCAACTCATGCTCAATCTAGTAAAGCATATGTAAGTTAATATCTAACCAAAGAGATTAGAATATGCACACATATAAATTGATTACCTCTTGTTGTATTAGAGTTGATGTAGCTAAAAACTTTTTTTCATTTTTAAATTTCATGCTCAAGATTCCCATCTGCAAGATTTGTCGAGCAAACTCTCCAGCTTTGTCAAGTTTATGATCGTCTGGAAAAGCAATATTTGATGCTTTGTAAATGCTAAGCATAGGGCCTAAAAAAAAGGCATGATTATCCTTCATATGAGACAAAATCTCTTCATCGTCAATGAACCAACAAAACCTCCCTGCATAAAACCATGAAGATTAGCTAGCTAGCTTCTTTCGCCAACCGAATGCACTCACTAGTAAAAGAAAATAATGTTATGTAATTAGCTAAAGGTGAATTATTATTCATTTATTAATGTTATGTGAATATCCAAAATATATTTCTTTTGTCAAGTAATGCTTACATGGAGAAACTTGATAGCCTTTCATCCTTAAGAGTCGAAAGGCTAAGGAGTCTTTATACAGTTGAAATGCAACATTATTTTTATTTGGGGCTTGTAATTCTTCTACGATCCATTTTCTATGAAAAAAAATGTACATTTTGAAACTGTTAGTCGATGAACTTTGATATTAAAAGGAACTTCAGATTATATTTCCATTGACATAAAAACAAGAAAAATGAATCAGAAAGCATATATACTTGTATTGTATATCTATCACATTCTTAATATCTTCGGTGAAATGCTCTGCACATCCAAGCCTCTCCAAGTGATCAACCAGACAGAGCTTTATCACATCTTTGTCCATCATGTATATGGGAGGAACTGTACATATATTATGTAAATAAATTTAAATAATTTTTTATGTTGACTATTTATTAATTGTAATAAGTTAAAACCATATTTAAAAAATGTTAGACTTACATAATTAAACTAAATGATCCAATATAATTAAAATTTAATATATTTTTTAAATTAAGAAGGATGATGTATGATGGTTTTGTCTGACATAAAATTTATGAAAAAAATTACATTTTTTTAATATTATTATTTATAAGCAACTAATTGAATTTAAAATGTTTTTTTATATAAATATTAGAAATATGTATACATTTTATGCCTCATTTTATGAATCTTTTATTTGCACACATACAAAAGCTTACTCCAATTTATATAATAAATTTATTTGATAATTTTTACTTAAATATATTATATTTTAAATTGTATATTTTATAATTTTCTATTTATCGCAATTATAATATGTTATTAAAAGTATTGATGTGAGATGCATGATCAGTACCTCCGAGCTGGCAATCTACAAGTAAATTTTGAAGGTAAGTTTTGTATGTTTGTTTTCCGCTAATCATGAAAGCACAAGCAGTTGCCGATGGCGATTGAAAGATTTCGGAGCCACTGTTTTCAAAAGCAATCTCCCTCATAACAATTCTCTCCACAATACCATCCTCCTCTCTTTTTTTAATCTCTCTTCCATCCAATTTAAATTCATTAAAATGTTCATTTTTGATATGTTGAGCTGAAGGAAATACTTTCAAGCCTTTGACCTTTGCAAGCTCAAGCATCAAAAAACACCTATGAAGAAGCCCAGCTTCATCACCATCCTCTTTGCTCTTTCCCATCTTCCTCAACTCCTCCATGTTCTCTCTAAGAAATTGAAGCCCTAAAAGGCACATATGCATAAATTTACTCGTTCAAATATCTACAAAAACACAGAAAATGAAATAGATATTGATGATCGTACCTTTATATATTTTGTGAGAGAAATGATCAATCTCCCAAGTCCTAAGAGCAATTAAGCAGGCAAGGGTAGCCATAAAATCAGCAATGCTCCATTGATGCTTATAATTTTTAAGCTCTTGATGATCAAAATCAAGCCCGGATTGCTCATGCACATGATCATCAAACCAAAACCCGAGTGCATTCTGGCTACGCAGAACCCAGTCCAAACACTGCGGGAACATCGGGCGTGTTGGGTCATTTGGGTCAGGCACCATAGCAACCCAAGCTGTCTCATATGCAGAGACGGGCAAAAGGGCGAAGAGGTCGGCCGACGAAGAGAAGAGCTCTCTTTTCATCCTCTCCACCGCCCGTGACAGCTCCATCAATTTGTTTGTAATTATACTTGTAGCTTCACCATACATCACAATCCAAGGATTTGGATATAATATTTGCAAGGAAGAATGCAAGCCATCTTTCAACTTTATAGATGAGTTGAAAGGGCAGCATTCCACAATACTTAGCATTTTGTTGGTGGGGGCAAAGTTTAATTATACCATGCTAAGTGCTTCCTTAGATTACCCCTTGAGAATCTAGTTTCATATCTTTTGGTATAATACAGCAAACAAAAAACCAAAGAAAGCCGGCTATTTTATTTATTAATAATAATAATAATAATAATAATAATAATATATATTTTTAAACACGTGGCAGCCACGGCATGAAAAGGGGAGCGTTTAGCGCAAAGAGTTTAAGAGTTCGATGAACTAATTATTCTTAAAGAAGGAAAAAATCAACTCTTAGTTGATCAAACGGGTTATAAACAGATATTTGATGAAATAATTTAACTTATTTAAATTTGTCATTTGTTATACCCAAATATTATTGTTGTTGAAAGAGAAATACTATTTACATATGCATCCAAATTCTATGTACAATATTTTGGTACACTTTGATGCAACATTTACATAACTATGGACAATATTGTGTATGCGGAGTTTAGATGCTTAATAAATAGTTTTGTTCTTTTGGGTAATTCTGTTTTGACAGTTTTTTCAAAAAATTGTCATTGAAATATGTATTTTCCCATCTGTTCTTGTGAAAAAAGAAATATTTGTAATAGTCACCGCAGCTTTTTTAACATCAGATTATTTTTCTGCAGCTTCACAGTTGTTTTTTAATAAGCTACAGCTGTCACAAACATGCTTTAAGTTTAAATTTATAGAAATAATATTTTTTTTCAATATTTTATAATGATTAGAAGAAAAAATAAATATTAGATCATTTTATTTCTAATTTATAATCCATCCCTAGGTTCTACATTACTCTCTCAGCCAATAGAATTTAAATATTTAATTAATTATTAAATCATAAACTGAACAATAATATAATTTGCGCCACTAAAAATTTAAATTATTTCTAAAAACTAAATCCAATATTTATTGATGTGAATTACTTGGTGCAATTTGACTGTTGTATGCATAGCATTATTAATTCCAATGTTAGGTCGTAATTCTTTTAGGAGGTTCGCTCTGTCATTATAATTTGCATAAATATTAAATATTATCTACATATTTTTTGATTTAATAGCAATGTAATATATTTTATAGTTTGAAAATAGAGTATAAATTATAAGTCAAACTCCCATAATAGTCTTCTTGTTAAGGATTGACTACCTATATATATGTACCACAAGTCTTGGCTTGTTGGTGACGTGGTCACTGTAAGTCCCCTCAAGTCAATGGTTCGATCTCACTGTGGCGCGGGGGCTCTAAAATTTCAGGCATATTGCGCGGGCTCTCATCATGAGGCCAAAAAGTGTCTGGAAAATCGATATTTGAGTCTCTGCTAAATATTGATTTCCTTTTATTAAATATATATAATGAAGCTAATTATAATTTCAAGATATTAGATTTGTCATATATTTTTATTAAATTTTAATTAAGATATTAAGACTCGCAGATTTTTTTAATTTAATAAATAAAAAAATGGTGCATGACAAGAGATTTTAGTTGTAAAAACAGTGGAAAATTATTTAGAATATTGAAATAAGCCTTAGAATCGATGGAATATTTATGAATTTGTCTATAAATGCTTTTGACATAAGGATATTGATAAATCATTAATAGAAAATTATTTTATAAGGTCAAGAATGACATAAGGATATTGATAAATCATTAATAGAAAATAATTTTATAAGATCAAGAAATGCTTTATGGTAGGTAAGTTATACCTCAGGCGCATAATTGTCTTCTCTGCAATTTGCATTTATCTGTATAAAAAATAAAATTTTATAAGATCAAGAAATGCTTTACTGCTTTATGGTAGGTAAGTTATACCTCAGGCGCATAATTGTCTTCTCTGCAATTTGCATTTATCTGTATAAATAATAAAGTTTAATATTTTAATTAGTTACTAGCGTTGGTGTTGATTCAGTTTTGTGCACTATTTTATAATAATAATAATAATAATCGTAAATTGTAAATAAGTATTCGTTAGGAAATGATTTTATTAAAATTTTATATTTTTATTTGATAAAAAATATTTTACAATAAGTAGATTTATTTTAAGATGGGCTTATTTAATTTAAGTTTTGTATATGCAAATATGGATACATTGAGATTTTTCGTTAAAAAATATCTCGTTAAATTGAGCCCATCTGTTGAAATCGTTGAATAGAATCTGCCTATTAAAGTAGTTGAATAGAGCCCATTTGTTGAAATGGTTTTGAACCATAAACACTTGCCGAAGTGGCTGATCCAATCATTCTCTCCTTTCTTGAGAGAATAACCTAGTCTACCTGTATGAAGATAGCAATTGGAAGAAGTCATCATAACTGAAAGACCGTGCTCAACATTGGGGGCACAATCCCTTCACCCAGACATATAACATGGATTGTTGTCGTATAAGCATTATCTAATATTAACCAACAATACGTAGTATCAAAATCACAATATTTCCATCAAGAGATATTACAGAAATACAACGTTAAAAATGAGACTTGAAAAAAAAAAATTATTTTTTAAATAAACAACTACTCTATTTCTAACACTAAAACTTTAATTTTTACATATACTCCACTCAATTCATATGTATTTACATCTCCAACGCCTAAATTAAAATTTTGCATGTATGTCAATCAAATCTTATAAATAAAGACGTTTGAATTGGATTCACTTGCTTTATAGAGAAGAATCAAATCCTGCACATCTAGTCTTTCTCTGCTTCTATGTCTATCAATAATGTTTTTGAAGAACATGACCACTTCATCAACAACACTTTCAGTAGGAAGTACAAGAACACGCACAAACTTAGAAAGCACTATACGTAAAAGGCACTGCGTATTCTGCATAAATTACCTACAAGATGGAAAAAAATTGGTAACAAGTCTTCTAAATATTTGAGACAAAAGAGAGGCTTCATCATTATACTGAGGAAGATAATATAGCAAGAGAATCTAACCTTTGCTTATACTTCTTTTCAGATTATTGTTTTATATCAAAGGGTCAACAATGTTTATATACCTACCACACAATTCTTACCTACCACTCTCTTGCTTTTATAAATAGAGAGGGTGTGAGGCTTAGGAGAGCAACAGAAGAGATCTTAAGCTACCACAGAGGATGAGAGAATAGCTAGAGAGCTAGAGAGGA